AGAAACCACCGAACGTGTAGCAACATGTGCCTATAAATACCTCTAAGGTGAGAAAGGTAGTTGCTTCTTGAAACCCGAACTATTTGAATTCTCATATTCACTCTGCTTACTACCTAAAAATCGACTACTGATTCTCACGTCGGAGGTACAATGGGGGAAAAAGTCCCGACCTCATTTTGCAGGTAACGTACACTGATCGGAGTGCTATGAACACCGTACCTGTTAAGGTGAGCACGAAGGATAATCTCGCAACTATTTCAAACATCACCCTGCACCCCGAATTGCCATTGTCACTGCCACAATCGAAAGAATATTTATCCCTCGCTATCCACAGCTTTTTATATGTTGATATTATAATTGCTTTTAGCATTAAAAGGGGGTTGGCCGTTGAGTGCAATAGAGAGAATCGAGTTTTACTTTGGATGTGTAAACTTGTATTATCCTTCCATAGTGCTAAGTGTGACTTTTTATACTAAGTGTAACGAGGAATCAGGCCCGTTGGATGGCCAAGCACGTGGTACATTAGATACAATGGTCCTTATTGACGTCAATCAATCAGTCAATCAACGCCATTTAATACTAAGATCCTCGCCTGCGGAGTATGGATTCGATGGTGTAGGCATGTAGATGCGGCGCTTGCAGTGTTGTCTTGTCAATCACTTTATAAGGTTAGCTGGGGTTGACCAACTGCCTCTCCGGGAATGGCTTCGTATTGGGGGCCTCTTCAAAAACTGGGTCGGATGAAACAGCCTTATATGGATTGGGCCTCGGCATGCGTCAAATTGGGTCGCCCGCATACTTATGCACACCCACAAATGTATGCCATGCGTAATTTTGTCTATTCGACACGTGGTGTGTTTAGTTTACGATTATTTATATGAGTAACACTACTAACAGAATTTCAGAGGCTTTTGGCCGCATAATTATATGAAGGTTTTAAACTGCATTGACAAAATGTACAAAATTAGGACCTATTTGCACTTATAAAAAAGTTTTACTTTGGATGTGTAAACTTGTATTATCCTTCCATAGTGCTAAGTGTGACTTTTTATACTAAGTGTAACGAGGAATCAGGCCCGTGGGATGGCCAAGCACGTGGTACATTAGATCCAATGATCCTTATTGACATCAATCAATCAGTCAATCAACGCCTTTTAATACAAAGATCCTGGCCTGTGGACTATGGATTCGATGGTGTAGGCACGTAGATGCGGCGCTTGCAGTGTTGTCTTGTCAATCACTTCACAAGGTTAGCTGGGGTTGACCAACTGCCTCTCCGAGAATGGGTTCGTATCGGGGGCCTCTTCAAAAACTGGGGTCGAATGAAACAACTTTATATGAATTGGGCCTCGACATGCGTCAAATTGGGTCACCCGCATACTTATGCACACACACAAATGTATGCCATGCGTAATTTTGTCTATTCGACACGTGGTGTGTTTAGTTTACGATTATTTATATGAGTAACACTATTAACATAATTTCAGAGGCTTTTGGCCGCATAATTATATGAAGGTTTTAAACTGCATTGACAAAATGTACAGATTATCCTGGATAAACGTGAATATTTTATGATCAGGGACTCGGCTTCAATATCTAAGAAAATTAAAAGCGAGGAACTATGAGGAATCGGATGGCCGACATGAAGGGCTGGATTTCAAGTCAGAGAATAATCGTAGGGTCCAGATTCCACGGTCCACGTCCAATAAAACCTTGATAGATAACCGCCATATCCGACGACGACTACTGTGGGCTCCATTTTTTGGCATTACATTTCTTTTTCTCACTTTCGAGATACGTGATGTCGGTAAGCAATTCAAACACTCCACCGTCTCTGTCAAAGGTAAGCAATTCAAACACTCCACCGTCTCCACATTTGTGCTTAAATGGAAGGATTTTGCTTCTCTTACAGTTTTGCTTCACAGTAGTTGTTACAGTTTTTCAAAAAATCTCACGTGGCATCATTTATTCCAAGAAAATATATGGAAGTCATTTTCTTCTTTATGGGATGATGAGGACAAGTGACTCAAATCTCTAACCACATTTCAATCTGCATAATTCCCTGTAAAGAATGTAATTCAAACTCTGAATGTTTATTTCTTGAAACTACACGAAATTCAATTGCTCTCGTGTAAATTAGGAAAAGAATGAACTAAAATTTATAGCTTCCTCTGTCATATTAGTGAAATTTTAAAAATACAGATATCGTACTGAAATTATATAGGCACGACACTGAGAAATAATCCCTAGCATAAGGAAAGTTGGTTTATATACCAAGCAACAAGATTTTAGACAGCTGGTGCAATAGAAAAGATTTTGTAAAGCATGGATGCCTGCAATGACATAAACCTTGAAGACTAATATAGCACCACAAGTTGATTTTGACATGTTATAAGCAATTTTTCGATACTTGTGATCTGTTTCTTTCACTAACTTATACCGGTAAGCTCTANTGTTATAAGCAATTTTTCGATACTTGTGATCTGTTTCTTTCACTAACTTATACCGGTAAGCTCTAATCTCCAGAATAAGGCGTCGTAGATGTAGCTAAAATCAACAGATTATGATTATTCCATTGTTCGTTGGGACAGAAAGTCGTAGGAATAAGATCAAAACAGAACCTAAAGAACTTATTCATCTACTTTTAGTCCTTTCTTTCTGCCTTCTCATCTGTGCATTGTTCATCAAATTTCATGAGTCCATCCAATCCCACCCTCCGGCTTAAGTAACATAAACACGACCACGCTAACAGGCCAATAGAGAGGGAGACGGAGCTAGAGAAAGGGAGAGATAGATACCGGCTTGTTTAGGGAGCGAGCGCCAATTGCTATGTCCATGCTTCTGAATAAAACTCATAAGCCTCAAATCCTCTG